TTGTAATAAAAAAGCAACGATATATTTTCTCATATATCGTTGCACTTACAATTACAATTTTTAATCTTTTTGAAGATAGCATTTTTTAGTTAATCACTGTAACTTTAATTTGTGTTTTTAATTTATTAACTAATGATAATTCGCCAATTCCCTGACTGAAAGCAGTTGCACCACCTGCTGCTGTCGCAACTTGTAAACTGATTTTTGGATCGGTAGTTTTAAGATATGTTGCAATAAAACCTGCAACCATTGAATCACCGGCACCAACTGAATTAACTAACTTACCACTAGCAGTATTAGCAAAATAACTACCTTTAGTTGTAGTAACTAAAATACTACCTTCTTTGCCATTGCTAACTAAAACATTTTGCGCACCTTGTGCTAATAATTTTTGTGCTAATTCAATTACTGCTTTTTGATTATCAAAATGATAATTAGTATTAAAAATTTCATTCAATTCTGCTAGATTCGGTTTAATTAATAATGGTCGGTATTGCAAAGTTGGTATTAAATTAGTCTTTGTCGTGTCAATTGCAAAAGCAATTTTTTGCTTGAAACAAAGTTCAGCAATTTCTTGATATAAATTGCTACTTGCCCCTGGAGCAATTGAACCAGAAATGATTAAAAAATCATCTTTTTTTAATTTCTTCTTTAAAGAAGAAAGAATTTCGTTTTCAATCTTTTTGTCAACATTAAATCCTAAACAATTTAATTCTGTTTCTTGATTATTACTTAAATCTCTAATTTTTAAATTAACTCGCACTTGCCCTGGAACAATATGTAAATCAGTGTTAACTTTTTCTTTAGTTAAGTAAGTTTCAAATTGATGACTATGCTCTTTACCAATAAAACCTAAAGCAGTATTATTAGAACCTAAATGTTTTAACATTACTGAAACATTAATTCCCTTACCACCAAGAATTTGATATTGATTAACAGCTTTATTAGTAGTTTCTAAAATAAAATTGTTAACACTAATCATTTGATCAATTGCTGGGTTTAAAGTTAATGTATAAATCATTGAATTATTTCCTTACTTTAAAATTAATTTACCTTTTTTAATTGCACTCATTCTTCAGAATCCAAGAATAGCAGCACTAATTAAAGCACCAGCAAATAATGCAACTATAGTTATTGCAATTGCAACTCCAATTGAACCTGCTTGCGTTGGCATTTTAAATCAGTTTGATCCATTATCTTGAATATTCATCAATGGGAAGACAAATACCCCCCCGTGCGGAGCACTTAATGTAATTCCAAAACCAGATAAAATTGCACCTGTAACACCACTACCAACAACAACAGAAGGAATTACTCGTTTTGGATCTTCTGCTGCATAAGGAATTGCTCCTTCAGTAATAAAGCAAGCAGCTAAAAATCAGTTAGTATTTCCACCATCAACATCTTTTGCTGATCAGTATTTCTTAAAAATTCTTGTTGATAAAGCAATTGCCAATGGTGGTACCATTCCTGC